AGACCAGGAAGAAGCCCATGTGACCCAAGGGGTATAAAGAGGGTTGAGTTGCCCACCCAATTTGAGCTCCAATCACCTACACCTGCTGGCAGGTATTGATTGTCTCTTGAGGTCCGTGGGACGCCCAACCTCGCCCTACTTCTTCCCGAGGGATTGAGAGAAAGACGCTGGCCACGCCAAGTCTGGAACGCAGGGGTGAGAATTGTACCTGCAATGTGTTTTCTTTATGTGTACACTCTAATTGTCTCTCTGTTGTAAGTTAGTTACTTTATTATAGTTTTCTTAAAGTCAAACTGCTTCATTTCTATTGTAAATCACCTTTGGTAAGGTGATTTAGCTATAAACTTTGGGAATAAGTGGGGTGCCCTCATTCACTTATAAATATATATATACTGAACCAAGTTTCTTTATTTCTTTTCTTTTTCTTTCTCCTATAAATAAGCCAGTGCGTGTCAAGCTTCTGACTTGAACCCGTGCTGCTGTACCCGAACCGAACACAAACAAAAGAACTTCAGCCGGTCATAAAGGGACAGATATAGGGAGAGCTTGGGCGTTTGGATTTGTGTCACACCCAGGTGGCAAAATTCAGTTGGGGCGCTTCTCAGTCTCCCCGAGGCTGCCCGCTGCGAAGGAATTATGAAATTCTAGCAGCTGAAATCTGAAGCGTAATAAGCTCTCCCTGTACACTTATTGGGGCGCCTTTCAACCTCTTCCAGGTTGCCCACTGCAAGGGACCCCCGGTCTCAGCAGTTAAAGTCTTAGGCGTATAGTACACACATAGTATAGGAAGAGCTTGGGCGTTTGAATTTGTGTCACACCCAGGTGGCAAAATTCAGTTGGGGCGCTTCTCAGTCTCCCCGAGGCTGCCCGCTGCGAAGGAATTATGAAATTCTAGCAGCTAAAATCTGAAGCATAATAAGCTCTTCCTGTACACACTGGGGCGTCTGTTAGCCTGTTTGGCTACCCTCTGCGACGGGACCTCGGTCCTAGCAGTAAAGTCACGGACGTTAAACTACTTTTCAGGGTGCCCTCCAGCCTCCTAGGCTGCCCGCTGCAACGAGACTTTGTGTCTCAGCAGTTGAAGACTTGGGTGTAACACACACGCACACACTGCCCTGACCGTCGGCTGACAGGATGATATTGTATTTTTGTCTTTTGTCATTTTGCTATGTGAATTCATTTGAGAGTGTAATGATTGAGTGGTTTAAGACAGATAAGTTGTTGAGGGATGAGGAATACCACTTATTGTGGAAGGCATTTGTAGAAGACACTAAATCTTGAAAGGTGTATTGTGGGAAGGGATAGAGTTCGTTGTAGAGGTGGAGAGGTGTCTGCAGGTTTTGCATCTATTGTTCTGCAGATGCTGCTCTGAGTTGGTGTGTCCTGGTGTGTGTGGAGCTTCATTCTAGTAATGTGTATGGTAAGTTTAGGGTGGTGTTTAAAAGCCAGAAAAAGGATTGGGAAAGATTTCTTTCGGGATGTGGCCCCTGTTAGCTATGGGTTGTAATTGTTTGGCGTACACTGTATGGAGTATGGACAATGAGAGGAATGTGGTCATTCTTTTTTCCCCTTGTACTGAAGCAGGTTCTCCCACAGTATTTGGGTGGCCCTTTCCAATCTATGTCACTGATGGAGTGTCCTTGTTTTGTGAAGATAGTTTTAAGGATATTTAGATGTATATCCTGGACTGTCTTTTCAGAGTAAATTATGTGATAGCTGAGTGCCTAAGATGACATGCCAGACCTCGTTGTGAGATTACACTACAGGCAAAATTCTGCTGTTGTGGGGAAAAATCAAATAATTCCAATTGTGTCTAAGGGGGGACACTGGAGGAAATCAAAACTCTCTAAAAGAAAACTGCTGTAAGGGTTAAAAGTTTTCCAGACCTCTCTCCCTGTAACAGAGAGAAATCAAATTAACTCTAATCAAGACCCTTACAATGCCTATCTCAAATTCATGGATACTCCTAGTCTGTCACAAATTATAATGTAAACTCTTGTAAGACTACTCCCTCCACATTCTCGTGTGCCTTTGTTTTGTAAAACTTACTTCTAGCACTCCTGGTGTGAACAGAAGTCTCAGAGTACTTCTGCTGAGACTTTGATATGTTAAAGAAAACAATCAACAACTGAACTGTCTGAGCATTCTGTATAAAGGATCCCTAAACCTGTATCTCAGAGCTGACTGCTATTGTTCTCTGGTAGCTGTCAGACTGCATGCATGCATAATAAAGTTTTTCCTTCTAGGTTTCTCTCCTGCCTCACTGATTTGACTTCCAGCCTCGTACCCTTCTGGGGGCTCTGTACCCCAGGGGAACGAGATTTCTCCCTCACTGTCAGCCTGCTGGATGCAGGAGATTCCATCCAGGATCAGGGCTACCCAATGCATGAGTATGACATTGATATATGACATGCAGAAGCTCCATCAATTGATAGTTTATCAAAAAGAGAGTTACCCACCCTGTGCAGTAACGGGGGTTCTTCAAGATGTGTGTTCCCATGGGTGCTAGAGATTTTTCCAGCAGTGCTCTGCCATGCTGCACATGCACTGTGGTGTCTGTTAGGCATGCGCGCAGTGAGGTTCCTTCCATTCTTTCTCTACCGTGACTGCAGCCCTAGAAGAGGCTCCAAAGCAGGGGAAGGGGGGAGGGTAGTGGAGCACCCATGGGAACACACATCTGGAAGAGTCCCCGTTACTGCATAGGGTGAGTAACTCTCTTTTCTTCTTCGAGTGACATCCCCCTGGGTGCTCCATTCTCGGTGATTACAAAGCAGCAGTTGTGTCATGGAAGCGGGTTTGGAGCCCTTCCAGCTCAATTAGTGATAACACTTCCTGTCCAACCGCTATGGATTGAGCGGTGGTGGAGGTGAGAGCACAGTGTTTTGCAAAGGTGGCTGCCTTCTAAATGTCCTCCGGAGGTACATTTTTGAGGAAAGCTGTTGTGGAAGCACGGGCTGTGGTAGAATGAGCAGCAGTGGTATCTGGTGGCTGCTTGTTGTGACAGTGTAGCAAGTGTGAATGCAAGATGAGATCCATTTGGATATCCTTTGTGAGGAGACGGTTTGACCTCTGGATCATTCTGCAAATGGTAAGAAGAGTCTGGTTGATTTTCTCCATGGTTTTGTCCGATCCAGGTAGAAAGCAAGTGCTCTTTGAATGTCCAAAGTATGTAATGCTGCTTAGGGAAGAATGCAGGTAAGTATATGGGTTTATTAATGTGCAAGGGAGATGGGACCGTGGGTAGGAGTCGGGGGTGCGGTTGAAGGATTACTCTGTCTTTGGAAATCACTGTGTACAGCAGGTCTGCAATTAGTGCTGCTAGCTCACTGACTCTCCTGATGGAGGTGATGGCTACCAAAAAGGCTACTTTCATGGAGAGGTGTAGCCAAGAGCAAGTTGCTAGGGCTCAAAGGGCTGTTTGGTTAAGCTTTTGAGGACGTGATTCAGGTCCCAGATGGGAATGGAGGCTGTACCGAAGAGAACGTATTCTGGAAACCCATAAGGAAGCGTTCAGTAAGCGGGTGTGAAAAGAATGAAGTGCCTTCACTGGGTATATGAAAGGCTGCTATTGCTGCTGCATGAACCTTAAGGCTATGTCTGTAGGCTTCTTGTGCAAGAATGGTTGTTCTTGCGCAAAAACTTGTGGAGCGTCTACACTGCATGCACATTCTTGCGCAAGTAAATTTATAGTAAGGCGTCGGAACAGAGGGCTTCTTGCACAAGAGTTATTCCTCTCCCCACGAGGAATAAGCCCTCTTGTGCAAGAGCTCTTGCACAAGAAGGCAGTGTGGACAGGGGTTTCTTGTGCAAGAAACCTCTATGGCTAAAATGGCCATCAGAGCTTTCTTGTGCAAGAAAGCATCCATACTGCCATGGACAGTCTTGCGCAAAAGCAAAGCTCTTGAGCAAAAGCACATGGCAGTGTGGATATAGATATGTGGGCAGAGTTGGCATCGTGTTTGGTTGCAGGGCTGG